CGGATCTATTCATTAATCTCCGGAGACATAACTCTTCCTCTTTAGATATACCATACATCAAAGAATTACGGTAGTCCAATTTAGACTGTGCTAAACATCGCGCCAGATCCATAGATAGAAACTGTCTGATATGTTGAATTTCTCCTAAATGGTTATTACAGATTATTACAGATTACGATAATAATGATTAGGATGATTACCTATCTCAACTGATTTTAGTGAATGTAATGATGATGGTGATGATGTTATTAATGATGACGATGAAGATGGTTAATATGACAAAAACTCATGTTAAGACCGAATTGACACTGAAGATGGTATAGGAATACCGAAAAAAGCTGTTTTGTTCTATTATGCTTAAATGTTCTATCATGCTTGAAATAAATAAGAATTTTGTTTTTGAACTCAAGAAACTTGACAATAATTTATTATCTACTGTTAGTAAAATAGAAAAATGAAACAAGAAGCTAAGATTATGTAAAAAAAATTTTACATAAGAAGCTAAGTAACGCACGCGAAACATGCTGTGATTTTCATCAATAATTGCATTTCTGACAGTCTTAATCATATATATATATATATATATATATATATATATATATATATATTATATATATATATACTATAGGAAACCATTTTTTGTACTGTATTGTATGAATTCTACCGAATTGTTGGCATTAATTAATTTAAAATTTGTCTTTTCAATTTTCCTTACTAGAATTTTCTGAAAATTATTCGGTTTATTGAAAATAGAATTATTATTATCCAAGTTCATCATGAAAATTTAATGAAACTGTCGTTATCCAAGTTCATCATGCAGATAGGCCATATTCGATTTTTCACAGGTTTGGTTTATATAAATTCTTTATACAAAACAAAGTTAGTTCTTTAGCACAAAGTGAGTTACTTAGTTGGTGTCGTATTCTTCATCTTTGTTCTTGTTATTTCTTTGTTCTTCATTATTGAATACTGTAAAGTTGAATTACAATTAATTCAATATTTTTAACAAACAATGAAGAACGAAGAAATGACAACAGCGTTTAAATTGAAGAAACTATTTATACCAAACCTGCACTGAAGATGATTTGTGAAAAATCGAAATAAGGCCTTATCTGCATGATGAATTTGGATAACAACAGTTTTATTGAATATTCATGATGAACCTGAATAATAATTTTATTTTTAACTTTCTAGAATTCTCTGGAAAGAGAGAGAGAGAGGAGAGATGTTATCACAGTAAGATCAAGCGGTGATAATACTGATTACTTAATGTTTTTGTAATGAATATATATACACAGCACCGTCACTTTTTATATTTTTACAGATTTTTTTTATATGTTCGAAACTAAGAGATGTGTGTGTGTGTGTGTGTGCGCGTGTGTGTGTGCGTTTATTTGTGATTAGTTAATGTGCATATTTATTAGCATATATACTTGATATATACAATATACATATGCAAACGAAATAAAAATTGTATTAGATTAAAAGACTTGAAATTAAATACACTTTTTCAATTTTTTATTGGGCGCGTTGTAATATGGAAGTTTTAAACGCCTTTTGTCGTTATTACATAAGTATTTAATTAATTAGTTAGTTAATTAATTAATTAATTAATTGTTTGTTCATTTCTACAGTTGAAAAGACAGTGTTAATAATTTTTACTCGATTATTTTTTTACATAGTTTTCTATTAAATGTAATCAAAAGTTTTGATTTGGTTGTTTCAGTTTATGTTTTATCATGTGTTTGTGTATAATGTGTTTCTTTAAAATGGGTTTATTACACTGATTCAATGTGTCTGTTTGCCTGTTTGTTTCTTTGTGTATTTGTCCGTGTCTATGTTTGTAATTGTTTGTGGGCTTCTTCAGTGTTTCGTCTGTTTCTTTGTTGGCATGTGCTATTTCAAAAAAATCATGTTAACGTAGACATTATCGAGATTAATGATATGAATATCAGTTAGGATTTTATGTTGAAGACTTCGAAATGAATTAAATCTGTTATTTCTCAATTGTTAAAAGTATTTGTTTTCTGTCATCTGTATTGAAATACTAAAATGATTGCGATGGCATTTGATGAGGGGTTTCGTTTTTATTGAGGCTACTAAAGATTTTTTTTTGTTAGAAAGCTTAAGTAAAGAGAGAAGTGAAGAATTGAATTCTTAATTCAATGTTTTGAAATCAGTTAGATGGCAGATGTTTTATGAGATTACCACCATATGCAGTTGAATATTTTCTAAAAAAAAATAATGTCTTATTCGATTTAATTCATCTTTATTTGTTTCTTAAAATACGAGACTTATATTAACTATTTATTTAAATATTTTTTTAATTTATAAGCGCAGTGCCTTTTCTGAATTGTATTCGATAATGTGAATAGTCCTGTTGATATGAAAACCTAATGCAGTATATAATTAAATGTGCCAAGTACTCTCCTATGTGCATGTTCTAGTTGGCAGTACCTACTTGTAATATATATTTAACATTAACTTTTTTACTATCCTGTAAATCATGTTGAGATATTAAATAAAATATAATTCTGTTTATCTTCTGTCTTCGTTATTTCAAGTCAACAAACAAAATTAGCCGTGTAAGATATTTGAAAGGTCAGTTATGTTACATGCTAAACAGTGTGTTTATAAACGCCGACGATAATTCCTATAAAACCGTTTTTCGTAAATGTAGATGACGTATCCATTAATATCCATAATCCATAATTTCTAATATATCCATAATTAATTAATAATAATTAATAATATCCATAATCTAAAAACGTATCCAGAGATGCGGTCTAAACATGCTTTGTTAATTTGCGCCGGTTTGATTTTACGTGCATTTTTGCACAATCAAGATATCAATTTGATCGATCTTTAGTGGCCAACGGCTGAAACATTTTCTCGCCTGTAATAAAACTCATGCTGACCTGAATTAAATCTAGATCATTTCTACAGGAAATCAACATGAAGATACTTGAACTCGATCGTGGAGAGAAATGATGAGTCTGCCTGGTTAGAACATCAAATTAATTGAACCTCAGTAATTTTGAGTTTACTCAACGAAGACTTTCTTCGTATTTGGTGGTGTTTCAGGGCACTGACTTACTTTTGAAAGCAGCGCCGTCGCTTCTTAAATAATTTGTCGCCACGAATATAATGGATATGGCATAATAATTGTTACCTGCATAATAATTTACAATGTGTATATATATATATATATCTGCATCTGCCATATCCATATTATGTTTATTCATATTTGTCGCCAACCTTTTGATTCAACTGCATGTCACAATTTCAAGCTCGCGTTGAACAAAAAAGAATGAAACAAAATTTTGGAGTTACACGAAATTTATTTGTTCCAGTGTTGAGTCCGGTTAAGTATGGATAATATAAATATAAATTGTATAAACATATTTCATGGGCACAGCAACCAGCAGATATCGTTTCGGACATTGAAGCGTCAACACGCTTCTCTGTGTGTATGTGTACAGCTATTCTGTGTGTGTATGTGTAGAGCCATTTTGTGTGTGTATGTGTACAGCCATTCTGTGTGTATGTGTAGTGAATGTGCATGTCATTACAGAGAAGATTGTTATGTGTAGTAATTTTAGAAAGTGAAACGCTATAAAAGTATAAAGTTTGTAGGAGTGTGTAGAATTGTAAAATTTATATTTCAATGACGCCGTCAGTCAGACTGCAACAACATCCGGTGGCTGGTCGTCGCGGGGCGAATTCGTTTAATAAAGTTGGCAATGATCGTTCTGAAGATCGTTCGATCGATTCTTCCTCGGCTCTTCTGGTCTCTTCAAAAGCATGGACGCATGGTGGTTTGCATGGATTGAACGGACAGCAAGGATTGGGTTGGCAGCATTTTATATCGTTACAGTTAACAGCAGCACCCATTGCAGCCTCCTGTGTAAGCGATAGGCTGCAGGGTGGTTAAAAAATCCTCACGTACATTTCATGAATATGCATCATCACGTACATCTCATGAATATGCATCATCACGTCTAATCAGTATGAACATAAAATTAAACGTAATGGCAAAATTTTTGCCTCTCATAGGAAAAATATTTGAATGTGGAAGAGATCTGAATAAAAGCGCATGGGAATGTTTACTCTATAAGATTGAATACACATTTCATGTCACTTAAATTAAAGTTTATATTCATGGTTTATTCTCTCTAGAAACATAACTCTAAATCGCTTCTTTAAAATACTGAATGCCGTGAAATTTTTGCCAGCATTTTTCAATTTCTCATAAAATAGCCTAAGAGACAGATTTTCCGGATCAGTTTAATAAATCAGTTTGATGGGTTCGGTTAGACGTTGTTAGAATAACCAAACTTTCTCACAGAACGTTTGTGTCAAAATAGCTGACACAAAGGCTACATTGCTCCGTGACAGCTGATATTTTTTAATATAATTATAAATAAGTATATAATTTATAATATGTATCACCAATCAAATTTCATATCTTTTATAAGCAGATATTGAACAAATGAAATTTTTAAAACAAGTGAACATGCAGCAGAACTCAAAATTGAAATAAAAAAGTTATTAACACCTGGCCATCACAACCACACAGTGTGGTCATGACAGTTGGACTGACCACCCAGTTGCACAACTCGCGGAAGACCAGGTCACAGGGCAGCTTGCAAGCTCCAGGATCGCCACAGCAGGAGTAGATTTTGAGGGAGGACTGAGGAGCTAGGTAGACGCACGGAGGTATCCGGTAAATGGCCAGACAACAGTTTCCTTGCAACTGACTCACGTAGTAACCGCTGATGTATTCAGTCTGTCGTTTTAGTTTTTTTATATAGTTTTAGTTAATTGAACATTTTTGTTGAACACTTATTAATTATGCTAACAAACGAATTGAAACAACGAATTTCTAAAAATTGATCTGAACCATTTAAAAGGAAACAAAATAGTTTGCAGTCCCACATACTTTGGCACAGGAGGAGTTGAAGAGTTTAACGTAGTGTCCACAGGGATGTACCTCGCAGATGCGCACTGAACTGCACGGCTCGCAACAAGGGTTGCAACAAGATGGCGAACAGCATGGCGAGCAGCAGGGAGCACAGCAGGGAGAGCAGCAGGGACTGCAGCAGGATTTGGAGCAGCAGACCTTCGGACAACAAATAGGTGGACAGCACGGCTTAGGGCAGCACGGCTTGGGACAGCACGGAGGGGGACAGCAGGGTTTTGGACAGCAAGGAGAACAACAGGGAGGGCAACAGGGGGGACAACAGGGAGGACAACTTCCGCATCCGCCACACGGACAGCAGCATCCAGAAGGTGGACAGCAGGGCGGACAGCATGGTGCACAACATGGGTTGCAGCAGGACGCCATACAGCAACTTGGTTTGCAACAGGGAGTACAACAAGGAGAACAGCAATTAGGAGTGCAACAAATTTTGACGCAGCAGGGAGGCGGTGGGCATGAACAAGGTCTACTGCAGATTGGTTTACAGCACGGAGACTTACAACAAGGTTTCACACAACCTGCAAAAGTTTAGAAAGTTTTGTTAGAGGTTTTTATAATTATTTTGTTCTGAATAAAAGAAAAACTTCTGCCTCATACGGGCTAACTACTGTTTCTGCAGTTTGTCGTGAATGACCACTCAAAGCCAACTATCTTAGAGGCTCAATAATTCTCATGAGGAAGAGGAACACGTGATTATTTCAAGATGGCTCTTATTTGGTTAAAGCTGCACAAATTTGTTGATTTAAATTTAAGATTGTAACTTCGAAGTGTATGATTTTTCGATATCATAAACTAGAACGAAAATTAAACGCCCAGATAATGTTTATACTTAGAAATGTTAGATCAGCGATTGATGATGAAACATTGATGATTGTAACTAATTGATTATGTTCAGTGGTTAACGGTGATCACAAAATAAGGAACTCACAGCCTGTGCTGGATCTACACGACATGGCGTTTCAGAAACTTTTCTGCTTGCAATTGGTTTGGTTCGAAACCTCTTTCAATTATATTCCTTCCAGTTCTTTTTTTCATAAAGTTTTTATAGTTTAAAAATGTCCCTTTATCTTTGTTGTTACTTTGATGTCTGTCATTGTTGAAAATAAAATTAATCTGCTGAATAGAATGATTCAACAATTTATGACTATAATTATTGTTGCTCGGAAGGGTTATCGGGCCGCTGTGATTGCTTCGTAAGCACCGCACCAAGTCGAACCACAACATCGTGTGGCTACTGGAAGTTAGGGCCTCCCAAATTTACGGTCACTAATTCACTGGAACGCACTCTAATTTAGAAATGATTCTGCTCATCGATAATGAAAAAATAAAAGTAGTAACCTTTTTTTTGCCTTTAAACTTAAAATATTACGATGTTATATTTTCTATCTAAGCAGTTTGCACTGCGTAATCATTTTGAATTTATGACGAAATCATAGATAAATAAATCGATATCATGTTTTAAATTTAATTGTTTTCAAATTTAATTCAGTTAAATTAGATTAAATTCAATGAAACAAGTTTATATTTTATGAGCAAATTATTGCTCGTGTTAGAGGAGCTCCAACGCGTTGTCTTAAAAAACGCACCACATCTCCATAGCAACCAGTATAAACAGGGCACATCGTAATTTAACAGCGCAGCCTGAAGCTTCCTAAAAATTAGCAATTTATTGAATTTAATGAACAAAATAAGAAATTAAATAATAATTTGAATGATTGATTGACGAAAAGATGAAAGGAAAGTTCACTCTTAATCAGTCGAAGTTGGATGCCGGAATGAGGAAGCGTCCCCAGAAAGGAGATGATAAAGTTGAAAGAGCAACTGCTAACTGGAGTCCTCAAAAAACCGACGATTGGGATCCGGACCTTCCGTACGGCGGGAAAATTTATCTTGCCAGAAAGAAGAAACCTGATTCCTGGACTATCATCATTGCAGAAGTTTTTTTTATTAATTCAATTAATTTTTATTAAAAATTTTTTAATATTTAAATTTTAATTAATATACTGTCGAATATTTTTCAATTTTGAGATTCAATTTCTTTTAATTTTTTAATGGCAAATTAAATTAATTTCTTCAAAACAAAAGAAAATACGATAAGAATGTTTTAAAATTATTCCACAATAACAATAATATAAAATTACCCTTAAAAAATGAAGATAACATTAGTGATCGCAGCCCTGGGCCTAGCATATTATTCGTACTACTACTTCGACCACTTCCACTACCACGTCACGAAGGGCTACGCCAAGCTGGGATTTCCGGAAGCACAACATGCTCTGGGAAACAAATATTATCATGGTGAGGTGGTTGTTGTGGTTGCTGTGGATGTTGTCGTTGCTACCTGCTGTGGATGTTGTCGTTGCTGTTGTGGATGTTGTAGAGGCTGCTGTGGATGCTGCTGTGGATGTTGTCGTTGCTGTTATGGATGTTGTAGCAGCTGCTGTTGTGGATGTTGTAGTAGCTGCTGTAGATTTTGTTGTGGCTGATGCGGATGTTGTTGTGGCTGATGTGGATGTTGTTGTGGCTGCTGTGGATGTTGTCGTTACCGCTGCCACTGCTGATGTGTTATCTTTATTAAGATGCTGACGGCTGCTGTTGATGATGATGATTGATGACGTATGAATCGTAATGACGACGAATATGATGATGATGATGGTGACGACAATTAACAATCCAGGTCATGGCGTTGAAGAGGACAAACACAAAGCAATGGAATATTATAAGTAAGAGATACAGAACGCTGATCTAAATCATCACGTTATTTTAACTATAATTAGTTCTATAATAAAATAATAATTATTATTACACACACACAAACTTACACGCACACACGCTAGCACAGACACACACACCCACATAAATTTATTGATTAGGATATGTGATTAATATATTTATTTATATTTTTTTTTATTATTATCTTTTTTTTTATTTTACAAGGTTTAATATATTATTTGACTTATAAGAACATTAATTATTTTAAATTTATTCAGTATAGACTCATAGGTTTATTTAATTTATTGTTTTAAAATTGTCTTAGTTTTGAGATGGCACAGGGACGTTTCGTCTTCGCCTTTGTTTAACGTAATAATAATAATAATAAACTTACACACACAAACACACACATACACATGCAGAAAAACTTACACACAGACACACACAAACACATCATTCTAATGTTAGATTAGCAAGCGATCAGGGCCATGCACATGCATCATTCAATCTTGCAGTCGGTCACTTGAAAGGTATTAGGAAGGACCTTCTCAAAAAAGGGTACCAAAATTTGTTGTTGTTGTTGTCGTTGTTGTTGTTGTTGCTAGTGCTGTTGTCATGTTGATGTTTTTGTGTTGTTGTTTTTGTTGGAAGTGTTGATGTTTTTGTGTTGCTGTTGTTGTCGTTGTTGTAGTTGACGTTTTGTGTTGTTGTTGGCGCGTTAATGTAATCGTTAAAATGCCTGACAGTGTTGCAGTGACACTGGCTTCAAATGCATAGTGAGTCCCGTCTTCTGTAACAAGACGAGGCAATCTGTTTGCTGCGTCCTTGATTAAGGCCTATTCACTGCGCTGTTGTTGATCTCTTGAAAAATACTGAAAAAAGAATTTTAAAATATTTTTCACTGTTGTTATGATCGTAGTTATTATCTTTTCTTCTTCTTTTTCTTCTTTTTCTTCTCCTTCTTCTTCTTCTTTTTCTTCTTCTTCTTCTTCTTCTTCTCTTTCTTCTTCTTCTTCTCATTCTTCATTTTCTTCTTCTCTTTCTTTTTCTTCTTCTTCTCCTTCTTTTTCTTCTTATTATTATTAATAAGAAGCTCCAACCTCCATCCAGTGAGCCACACCACTTAATAAGGCACGCAGCGTCCAATGGCGTTCGAGAAGCTACGGAAGTCTTTAATCTAATGTGCATCCAGGGCAAGTGTGAAGATTAAAGGGCTGATTGTGATTGGTTGATTTTGATTGGATGGATGGATGTATGGATAATTCTGATTGGTTGGTTATGATTTGGTGATTCTGATTGGCTGGTTTCGATCGACTGGGTTATTGTGATTGGTAGGTTGTTTTGTTTCTTGTTTTCGATTGGCAAGTTATGATTGGATGATTTCCATTGGTTAGTAAAACTCGTCGTTGGATAAATACTTCTGATTGGTTCATAGGCTGATTGTGATTGGTCAATCGTCATTGATTGGTCGTCTGGTTGACTTCGGTTGGCTGTCTGGGACTGATTTTCATATATATATATATATTTATATAAATTTATATATATATATTTATATTTGTTATGATTGGCTGGTTGATTCTGGTATGTTTGTTGATAATAAGGACGTGATTATATGATTATTGATTAATAAGATTGCTCGGTGTAACTGATTGTTAAGATTATATTGACGAGGAGGTTGAGCGTATTAAATTGAAAGTTTATCATTTTTCCCCATTAATATCTTTTTGATATTTATTTAAATTATTTTTTAAATTCTCGATAATATTGTTTTAATTTTTCACTTTTTTTTATATACCACGTGTTAATTATTCTATGCTAAAAGTGCAATATTCTATCTATGCTCAGATGACATCATGTGATAAAATAAAATCTGCTGATGACGAAAAGTCAATGACCATTTCACACATCTCCATCTTTTTATCGTTCATTATGTTGAATTACTTTTAAAAACATTGTTTATGTGATATATATATATATATATATATATATATATATATACATATACATATATATATATATAAATATTTATATAAATTTATATATATATATTTATATAACATATTTGGATAAACAATGATTATGTTTTCACATCAGAAACATCACATTATTTATATTATGTATATGTGTTTGTTTGTTTGTGTGTGTTCATGTTTAAGTGTGTGTGTGTGTGTGAAAGAGAGAGAGAGAGAGAGAGAGAAAGTGTGTGTGTGCGTGTATATGTGTGTTTGTGTAATGTATAATATCACAAATATCACTTAATCATTTATCGTGAATGATTCAACAGTTAATTTATTAACAAATTTTAAAAACGGCTTTTTCCATTTTTCAGCAGACAATTAAAAAAATTTAATTTTGTATTTACTATATTTATAATTATTGTACGTAATTAAGTTAAAAATCAATTAAAATGTCATTAAAGACATATATATATATATATATATATATATATATATATATATATATATATATAACAATTTTTTCAAACATTTACCTGTAAAATACGCCTGTAAACTATCGCTTTAAAAATGTAATAATTTCAAAAAATAACATAAGAAAGAACATAACATGACATAACACAACAGATACAAATGACACATCACACAAACATACTTATATGTACGGTGTAAATACATTTGTATATACTAGGAACAAACTTACATCAGTAAATACAAATAACACATATTTGTCGATGCACACAAACCTCAAAAATTTATCTGTTGCAAGAGTCAAATATGTATTCTAAATCACACTTTTTGGTGATACACACTGTCATGTAATGAATCCCAAGCACTTTCCTTAGTAATACAATTGACTTGAAGTTCAAGTCATCAAGAAATTTGTAGTTTATAAGCAAACATACTTATATATAAACATACTTATAAACATACTTATATATTATACTTATATATATTAATATATAATATACTTTTATAAGAAAATACTTATATGTACGGTGTATGTCGTACATTTGTATATACAAGAGAAAAACATACTTTGTACAGACATAAACAACCGTACACAAATGTGGGAAAACTCGTAAATGTTTTAGTACACAAAAACTGTCAGCTGTAAACTTCTAAACACATGTACAACAGTGAACACACAGACAATCATGCATATGTACACTACTTATACGCGCAAGCTTACACACATTGTACATGTACATACACATGTAAACGTATAAGCAAATTCAGTATTACATACATAGGGAAACAACTTTCTCCTAGTAGCGAAACAACCTCGCTGGCGTTCGGCAGAACAGTCATGTTCCTTTTTGCATATTAATACTAGTAAAAATACAAGCACGTATTACATGCATGGTATTATATCATATACGAATACACAATGCACGCACACACATACAAACACACGCACAAACATACAAACACACACGGACGAATAATGAATTCCTACTGTAATGTTTCTGTTAGGTACATAGAGATGTTTAGAAATTTACATAAAGATGAGATGCTTCAAATAATAAAGACTGACTTGAATAACAACTCGTCTATCGACATTATTATTACATTCCATTTAAAGGCAACTTAAGAGCGAGCGAGTGGGCAATGAAGATGGATTCAACTCGAGAACAAGTGAGTGATTTATGAAGACGGCCGAATGGTGAATGAATGGATGGTCAGACGCGGTGCACACGCTGCTGCTTCAAGTACTTCTGATGGGTGATGTCTTCTTGCTGCTGCAGAATCGTCTCGTACCTCTCGCGGAAGTTGATCCAAAGCTTCTCGACCATCTCCATGGCGACAATGGTGTTTGTGGCCTGATCGAGAATGTGTAGAAGGAGGACCCCGTCCGTACCCAAGTGCTCCTTCACGAACTTCAGCAAGAGCATTCGCTCGTTCAGTTGCTGGTTCGTTAGGATGGTTGAGATAAAGGAGGTGTTGTCCTCGATGCTACTGCTGGGGTTGTTGTTCACTAATCTGCTCGTAAATTGCGCGCGTGGGTTTGCGGTGTGTGTGTTGTGTGTATGTGTGTGTTGTGTGTGTGTGTGTTGTGTGTGTGTGTGTGTGTATGTGTGTGTGTGTGTGGTCTTTTTGTACGTAAAGCGTGAACAAATGTAAAGCGCTTGATTGTTTATGCTTATATTGAACAAATGAATAAACTAAAATTATTTTAAAAAAAACAGACAACAACTTTAAAAAACCTCGTGAGTGGTCGTTTTGCGTTGGAGATGCTGGCTGATGCCGTGTTTGAAGTGGTTGCAGTGCGTTTGTCGTAGATGTTGTTGCTGCTGCTGCTGCTGTTTGCGTTCATGTCGCTCAAGTCGCTCGCTTTTGAGATGTTAGAAGTGGCGTCTATGTCGAAATGTTGTTTCGACTTTTGGTCTGGCTTTGACTTCTGCGTAGATTAAAATATGCCAATGTATATTTATTTACATGATCTGCGGGCTGACAAAGCAAATGGCTTTTTGGAATGAAGTTTACAAAAAAATTTATTTGTATTGTTAACTTGCCACTAATTTAGCAATTTTTGTCAAATCAACCATGTAATTTGTAATATCGTAGATGAATATCATGATACCCACTAAGATATAACTTCAATGTTATATAAAAAGATAGAAACGAGAAGAAGTAGGTGATGACCAACATGAGATATGAGACCAGAGAGGAGGAGAAGGTTCTTGACATAGTTGTACCTGTCCTTGCCAACACTGATCTTCAGCACCCAGCGGATCAGCGAAGCAATGTTCAACGCCGCTACGAAGACCATCCAGAACCAGAGAATTAAAAATATCTGCCATGAAAATGTTAAGAGATGTGATTAGAAATCAGAGAGATACAGTTTATCAAATTTAAAAAATTGATCATACAAATCTAATTTACCTAACTGACGATATAATTTTAAAATGAAAAACGACGTTTTAGATATAAATAAGTTAACTATTCATCTGCATTGAAACTTGAATGTCCTCACATAATAAGCGTTTCAAATAAAAATAAACATAAAATAAATAAATTTTACATAGTTTGAAATATAGACAAATACAATCCACTTAAACGCTTCATCTTATGAAGATGCATCTACTTAACACCAATCTAACTTCGCTTTGAAAGGAACCGCCAACCTTCTCGTTGAAGAGATTGTTTGGCAGGGCACACTGGACGCTGTACGTGTTGACGACGGCCAGCCACCGAACCTTCACGTCACACATGGTCACTTTCGGGAATCTTATCTCCTGGTGGTGGTTCAGCTGCCTGTCCAGTTCGTTCAACTTCCAATACTGCTTCGTGCGCCTGACGTCTTCCACTCCTCGGAAAGTTTTACTGAAGTTCCACGCGAAGAGTGATTTGATGATGTCGGTGCCGTAGTTGTGGAAGCTTACTCCGAGCACGACGTCCAGCAGGAATATCAAAACTATCGAGTTGACTACGTAGAGAAATTTCACCAAAATTTTAAGAGCCGAGAAGTAATTCAGTCGTTTGTGGCCGATGTACTTGAAGCAAGTTTTTGTGAAGAGGTGCTTGAAACTGATTGTCCATTTAGACTGGCGACTGTAGCTGTAGTCGTTGCGATCGTCGCTGCTGAAAGAGGTGAGCGATTGAGACTTGTTGCTGTGGCTCAAGTACCTGTGATGTGATGTCGTTGGTTATTTGAGACATTATGGTTGAGTGGCTTTAAGGTGGTTAATATTAAAACACATAATGTTATGTAGAAAAAGCAGAGCTATGCATATTGTATTCAACTGATAATATTGACCGTACTCGATCAAACGAAAGCGCCTGGTCAGCGTCTGAAAACGACAAACCTTTCGAACTTTCTGCATAAAATGAATCATAAAATTATTTGTTGAATCTCGCAAACACGAGGGTGGATGACGCAGTTACCTGGAATCGTTCTGACAAAAAACGGTTCCGAATGTTAAAAATAAATCGTCACGTCGTGTAGAAACCTGCACAACTTTGCATGAATTAAACTTGACGTTGCATGTTGCACGTACAATGGTTTCAGTGAATGCCAAAGAAACGATGAAGAAATTGTAGTTTAAACATTACGTAATAATTAAATACATCCATCCCGTTACTTGCGGTTTAATTGGGCGATGAAGCTGAAAACATATCGCCGACCAATAAGAGAAAAAAAAAGAAACAAGAAGCTTTCGTTCTTATCTCATAATTTTTTTTACCATTCCATCACCTCCGTTTTATCTATATAGTGTTGTAATTGTTGTTTTGCTCTGAACAGCATGTTTTCGACAACAACTTTCTTTTTATAATCTAAAAAATTAATTAAATTCCGACAAAATCGACCAGACCTCAATCACTAGAACTCGCATTTTTCAAGATCCTCATTTCTTAAACGTAGTAGCACCACTACCAGTAGCTACAAAATTTGAAAATCAATATTGTATTTTTATTAGAGGTTATATTCTTTATCTTTTCGCAACAGGTTTTCAAAACAAAAGAGTGGATTTTGTAAAATATAAAAAAAAGTAGTAGAGAGTAATTTATAAAAGTGGACTTAATAGTAATCAGAAACCATTGTGGTGTTTGATTTTTTAATAAATTTTAAGTACATATTTTAATTATAAATATGAAGTAAAAAAATTTTAACGTGACTATTGAAATTTATTATTTAAGCATTAAGCTACTTAGGCGATAGAAATAAAATGTATTTTAATATCAGACTAGGAAAAATTTTTTTGTCGCTGATATATTTTTGTTGTACCGCATACTTTGCGTCTTGCTGTGACATCATCATGTAACATTTATCATCGTTGGGGTGGCTGTGTGCCCAGGTCGGCGATCCCTGTGCAACCCGGAACCTCAGAGAGCCCAAAACGTGTGGTACATTAGAATTTGTTTACAAAGCAAAAGTTAAAAATATGCGCTGAAGAAGCTATGAGACAATAAGACAATTTGAAGAAATAAAATTTATCATCTTTAAATATTAAGTACTGGTAAAATAATGAAACAGTCATTTGAAGATGAGCGACAACACGCCACAGAACAGCACAAGCGCACAGACCTTTCAAACTGGAGAGTCATGTGATCGAGCAGGGTATCTCTGACGTCATTCTTGATCTTCGGCGAACTGACCTTGAACCCGTAATCGACGAAGTTACTGACGTCAAATCCTGACTTGGCCTGTTTGATCAATGATGACCACTGATGACCACTGTTTGACCAATGGTGACCACTGATGACCACGCAACCCACCACTACCACCACCACGACCAAGCAACCTACCACCACCACCACCAAGCAACCTACCACAACCACCACCAAGCAACCTACCACCACCATCTAGCAACCTACCACCACCAAGCAACCTACCACCACGACCAAGCAACCTACCATCCACCAAAAAAACAACACCAACCTGAAACGACCTCCAGACGAGGCATGGGAGCGAGTACATAAGAGCCATGCCCAACAGGATCAGTGGTATCCAAGGATAGTACAGGATCGTCGCTTTCCTGCCCCCTGGTTCATTGATTTACACGTATTATATGAAGTGGTCGATTAATTAACCTAATTAATTAATTAATTGATTGATTAATTAAATGATTGGTTGATAGGTTTGTTGATAGGTTGGTTGGTTGGTTGATTGATTGATTGATCGATTGATTGATTGATGGAACAATTAATAGATAATTTAATAAATTCATTAAATCTTTTCCATGATGGTTAATTTGCATGGTTGGTTGATTGATGACTGGTTGTATAATTTCTTCATTGATTGATTAATTAATCAATTAATTAATTAATTAATTAATTAATGAGTTAATTTACGAAACATTTTTTTCAATTTTATCACAGTTACACCCATATGAAGGCCTTTATCATTAAACAAACCGATTTCTATCAAAAAATTACCACGAACCGTTTCTCCGAGCCGACGGTATGTATTCGGTATCGAACGATACGTTGTACATTCCGTTGATCCAGCATAGGGTATTAAAATACTGAACGTGCGTCTTGCTCAACTCTTTCGGTACGAAACATTCGATCGGATTACCGACAAAATTTGTGGTCGTCACCAGCGTCGCCATGACAACCAACATGGCGGTTGTAGTCACGTGGTTGACTCGGTCGGTTATCGTGTCATCAAAGCGATCGTTGCCACCGGCCATTTTGACGGCTGTTGCCACTAGAGACGCCATGTTGTTGGGTGTCAGAAGGAAGTGAGGTAGTGGTAGATTGAAGAGGAAAATTTATCAGGGGTGGTTGACTGATTGGTTGGTTAGTTGGTTGGTTGGTTGATTGGTCGGTTAGTTGGTTGATTGGTCGGTTAGTTGGTTGGTTGGTTGATTAGTTGGTTGATTGGTTGGTTAGTTGGTTGATTGCTTGGTTGGTTGGTTGGTTATTCAGTTAAGTTTAGTTGGTTGGTCAGCGGTAGATTTTTTTAGAATGGTTGAAAATATCAATGAACCGTTTATTTTTAAAACCGATTTAAAAGATGTTCAACTTGTAACGTTGCCAACAAAAACGACAACTACAGAATATTAGTACGGGATATCACAAATTGATGATACTAGACACCATTAGTTAATGATACAAGATACCATTAATTAATGATACAAAATACCATAAGTTAATGGTACTAGACATCGAAATTTTTTGTAGTTGGTGACGAAATGATGATGTTGATATCGCCAAACTTTTGGTGACGGTGAGTAACCACGATGACGATGATGATGAAATGAACTCGAACGGTAAATGGTAATGATAGATAGTCACTGCCTATTTCAAGGCTTTTGTCAGTATCACTTACATATAATTTTAATTTAATGTAGAGATTTTAATTTTAAATTCAATTTAATTTTGAGATTTTTCTGCACGTAAAATTAAAATTAAACTATTTGACATGAGACAGTTAATGTCGTTCCGGTGTTTTTGTTTTATTTATTTACAGATGGCCGAGTAGTTGTAGTAAGTGTAGTAGTAGTAGTAGGAATTGTAGTAGTTGGAAGAGCCACTGCAGTAGTTTTCGTTGTAGCGGTTGAAGTAACCCCTTTGGTTTTTAAACCTTCATTCGGTTAGTTTCTGTTGTTGTTTGTTGAAATTTGTGACAAAGTCACATCTGCAAAAAGTTTGTTCATCATTAGTAATTTTTTCCATTAAAACATGCTACCTCGCACAAGCTTCACCAGGGTATGCAATGTACGTTGCAATTTTTAAAAGATAAAATATTTTATAGCGTGATGGTTAAGTTTAAGGGTGGTATGCCCATTACCCTAAGTTCAAAGTTCAGAGGTGTAACAGCGTATAATATGAATACGTGTTATGCATCACATACAAAGCAAGCGGTAGGCAGGGATTCTTCTGTCGTGTTCGAACCCGGTCACTGCAGGTACTGTCGCCCAGGATGTATATGAGAACTATGTGTGTATGTTTGTGTGTATATATGTGTGTGTATGTGTGTGTGTGTGTGTGTATATGTATATTTATATATGTGTGTGTATGTGTGTGTATGTATGTATGTATGTATGTATGTGTGTGTGTGTGTGTGTGTGTGCATGTATATATATTTATATATGTGTGTGTATGTGTGTGTATGTGTGTATGTATGTATGTGTGTGTGTATGTATATATATTTATATGTGTTTGTGTATGTGTGTGTATGTATGTATGTGTGTGTGTATGTATGTGTATGTATGTTGTGTGTGTGTATATATATATATATATATATATATGTGTGTGTGTGTGTGTGTGTGTGTGTGTATGTTAATGATGTTTAAATAATTAATTCATCCCTCGTTGTTGATATCTGAAGCACATTCATCTTTCAGTATTTAGTTAGAAGTAGTTATTAATTATTATAATAATAATTGCTGAAGTATAACACTAAAAGTTTAATTTTACATTTTAAACAGTAAATCGGAATATGTAGGTAAATAAAGGAGTTAATTATTTAAATAAAATTAAATAATTAATTTCAAAAAAATATTTAGACAACTGTTCTAACTGTTTATTTATTTGTTTTATTTAAAATTATTATTAAAATACTAGTCAATCAATCAATTTACAATCTAATTTAAAATTGTCAAATATTATTAAAAATAATATACTATTTAATTCGGAATAATAATCGAACTATAACGTAATAAGTTAATACGTTAATATTATAATTAGCATGATAATATAATGTGAAAATATGTTAGCAGTCATACAATAACAGCCAAACAATACAGTAACACACATTTAGCCACATGCTCTCTCGCTATATATATATATATATATATATATATATATATATACATTGATATATACAAACATACATACATACATACATACATACATACATACATACATACATACATACATACATACATACATACATACATACATACATACATACATACATACATACATACATACATACATACATACATACATACATACATACATACATACATACATACATACATACATACATACATACATACATACATACATACATACATACATACATACATACATACATACATACATACATACATACATACATACATACATACATACATACATACATACATACATACATACATACATACATACATACATACATACATACATACATACATACATACATACATACATACATACATACATACATACATACATACATACATACATACATACATACATACATACATACATACATACATACATACATACAT